ACAACGGATTAGACTACGACATCGCCCGTCCACCGTGGACGGGCGATGTCGTAGTCTACTAGCACCTCACTCCTATCTCTTAGCACTCCTATGGGATCAAGTGGTGGGAGTTGGCAAAGTCTGTTTTGTAAATTCTCACATTGTTTTCGGGTCTTTGGTGGCCTCTAGCGTGCGTATAGTAATCGTGCCAAGCGCCCAACACACCTTCGTGGATTCGAAGGTGTGTTGGGCGCTTGGCACGAATACTAGTTACTGGTTTCATCGACTACCCGGCCATCTCAGGGTGTTTTTTTGGGGATTTTGCGATTTCTCGCAATCTGTGAGGACCAGGCTTCAAATGTGATTCTATGATGATGAGATATAGAAAGGCTTTGTATTGGGTACGATCGGATAATCCAAATTAATAATTATACCCAACGGCGACCTCTGAGCACAAGTGCTAATCTGATTCGCCCAGTCTTTACACGCCCGGGTGGACTATCACACGCTAGTGTCGTCTATTGTTCCAACCTTTTTCCCTTGATCGTTTCGTTCTGATATCTTATAATTCTTCACATATTGCTCATTATCCCCTTGGCTTTGCCATCACCGACAACTATCTTCCTGCAAGCATCAAAGCCCAACAAATAACTATGGAACATTCATCTGAACTATCCACCAATACCAGCAAATAAAACCCCGAAGTCCTTTTTTTTTGAAAATTCAAGAACTCAGACCGGGAGTGGATCTTATTGCAATGAGATCTGTGCTTTGAAAGCATCATGCGACCCTGCACGGGTTGACCATTGGGAAGGACTAGGACGTCTTGATACCGATCCCTAATAGCGGTGTACTGGAACTTGGTGCAATTCATCGTGATGCAGGCAGGTCTCATCTCGGTCACCGAAGCTGTTTAAGGGGTAATACAGAGTAAAATAAAGTAGGGAGTACCCCTCATCCACAAAACCCCTCGTGCGGGGTATTCTGTGAGGGGCAGACCATTTTGTCTCTCTTTTGATCGTCGATTTCAGAGTATCTGGAGCCCGGAACCCGAGTGTCGATCAAAATTTCTAATCTAGATCCTATCTTGCCTTAATTTGAAGGTAGTTTTACACCATTTTGAACTATCCCAAGACCTTTATCAGAGAGGCCGTAGCAAAGCGGTGCTACCCCATGTTCCGGCCCACAAATTTACTTGAGAATAATTGGAAATGCCCGCAGGGGATTCCCGGCACTGACAAATTTCGGGAATAAAAGTGGCAACATTCCCGAGAAAATTATTCCCGAAGATTCTTTTCCGTTTATATTGTAGTTGCTGGTTCAAATTGTTTTTTTTTTCCTTTTTTGTCACTTGCTTAGAGCTCAACGTTGTTCAACCCTGGAAATCATCTGTTTGTTGTGTTCAACCAAATCCACAAGCACTTGATACCCACCATGCCTTCAACAAGCTTGTGCCAAGATGAGGCACGCCCTCCATACAGTCTGATGGATGATTATAGTGAGGGAGCTCACCCGCAAATCCTTGAAGCTCTTTTGCGAACAAATTCCATACAGCAAATCGCCTATGGAAATGATGAATACAGCATTGGTGCCCGGCAACTAATCCGAAACAAGATTGGTTGCACCGAGGACGAGGCGGGTATTTTCTTTGTTCCCAGCGGAACTTCCGCAAACCTCATCTCAATCGCCAGCTGCCTAAGGCCTCATGAGGCTGTTATAACTCTGGAGTCGGGTCACATCGCCTCTAAGGAGGCAGGTGCGATCGAGGCAACCGGCCACAAACTTATCCTCGTGCCTGCAGTCGACGGCAAAATGACGCCCACCAATCTCCAAAAGGCGCTCCAGCAGAACCAATTCTACCCTCACATGGCTAAACCCCGGCTACTTTACATCTCTAATGCCTCGGAGACCGGCACTGTCTACACGAAACACGAGCTGAGCAGCCTCTCTGCGATTTGCAAACAATCAAATGTCCTGCTTTTTATGGACGGTGCACGAATTGGCGCAGCCATTTGCTCAAAGAAGAACGATCTCACTCTACGGGAGATCTTCGACATGACCGATATCTTCTGGATCGGTGGCACCAAGGCTGGTGCTCTGATGGGAGAAGCAATCGTTCTCAAGAAGGAGCTAGCCGATGGTTTCGATTTCCACCTCAAACAACATGGCGCTTTGCTGGCGAAGGGCCGTATTCTTGGGGTTCAGTTCATGGAGCTCTTCCGATCAGATTTGTTCTTCACACTAGCTACGCATGCCAATGAGATGGCCCAGAAGATCTCAACCAACTTCGAGAAGTTGGGTTACAAGTTGGCTGCGGAGACGGAGACAAACCAGGTGTTTGTCACCATTCCTCAGCAATTGGTTCGGACCCTGCGGGAAAAATTCCGATTCTATATTTGGGAACAGCTTGATGATGGAAACTCCGTGATTCGGCTTGTGACATCCTGGGCCACGGATGAGCTGGAAATTGACAAGTTCAATGCGTGGGTGCAACAGTGGACAGTGGCAACTAACATTTGAAGAGACTTGCCGTCTATTGACTGTTTCCCACCGTGACATGTTATACAGTTCATTTATAACTATAGTAATAACCAACTTTAATTAAATTAGAACAAGAGTTCAAAATACATCCCAATTCTCGTCCAATTTCTTCATAGATCCAAGTCAGCTGATCGCGCTAGCCATTTTCGGATACTAAGATATCCGCGAAACTCTTGCTCCCTCAAACGTGTATTCAACTGTTCAATGAATCAACAGAAATTGTTGCGTTGATGCGAATGCGCTGCTATATTGATCCGCTGGCTTGATTTTGTCTTAAAATGCCCCACGGCACTTGGAAGCCACTTCTTTTTCCACCACGGCCCACTCCACTGTTCCCCGTATGTACACTCGATGAGGCTGTCAATATCGTGTGATGCTTGTCGGTAAGTTCCCATCGGATTTTGGAAACACACTTTTATCTGATCTTTTATGTAGACAAGCAAAAGTCAAATGCGTCCATGAAGGGCAACCGCCCTGTCAACGTTGCTTGAAAACCAAGAATCAAGGATGTAATTTGACAGATCCCCGCGCCTCAAGACTCAGGACTCGGAGAAATACCAGCTTATCCAGGACCTCAAGAAAAAAAAAGCATCCTCCGCCGTATCGTCAGTGGTTAGAGGTGCAGGGAGAAGCACCTCTGTGAATAACCCCGTGGCGCAAGACCTATCCAAGGATCCCATAGCAGCACTGTCACCGGCAACCGTCATCAGCGCAGTGGAAACCTACAGAAAAAAATTTCCAATTACCAATTTTCTTCATTACCCCTCTTTAATCTCCGAAATATCATCCAACGTCCATTCGGTGGACTCGGTCTTTGTGGCCTCGGTCCTTTCCTTGTGCGTGCGGTTTATGAACAGCGACGAACTCAGAGAAGAAGAAATATATGCCGACTATGCGCGCAATAACCTTGCCCAGCGCGTGCTTGAGGCCCCCTCGCTTCATCTTGCCCAGTCCCTCGTGATGCTCTCGTTTTATGAATGGGGAACTGGACGACCATATCAAGCTTGGATGTATAGTGGTATGTATCCAATCTTCAATTCATTGTAGAGCACTGGCTGACAAGTAGCAGGCATGGCGACTTACATGATTCAATCCCTTTTGAAGATGGCAGACGATAGCATGGAACACAATCCTCAGGAGTTTCACGCATCCCAAACACAGTACGAACAGCTGGTCCGAACCTACTGGTGCTGCTTTGCACAAGACTGCGAGTTGAGCTCAGGGGCCCGTCAGCACTTCGCGCTATCGTTTTCTCAGATCTCAGTTCCTCTCCCTATTAGTGATCGAGACTTCACATTTAATCATTCTCCAGCCAGTCGGTTGATGCCTGCTGATATGAATAAAGACTGTTTGCTAGCGAAGGATCTCACAATTGAGCATGGCCTCACAATCGTTACTCGAGGATTTGACATATTTGTACGAATCCTAAGATTTGCGAGCGAACATCGGCGATCACTAGCTTCCTTGTCTTCGAGTGACTCGGCTTCCCCGCTCCTCTTGACTTGGCAGGTTCTCAAGGAGGAGCTGGATGAGTGGAGATCTCTTCAGGATATAACGGTTAGGTTCCCGGCTACCAGCGTTCAGTCACATGTGGCACTCGGGTACGGGGAGCTATTTGCGTACATCAATCTAGTTCATTGCATGAGGTAATTATTTTTCTTAGAGGCATTCCAAGCCGCCATACTAACTCCATTTCTTCAGCATCCTTTTTCTCCACCGGGACCGCTTCTTATCCAGCCTCAAGCCCCATTCCGACGTTTTCCATGACACGGATGATGACGCGCAGGGCGAACCCGATACAATCAAACAGCTGTTTGAAGCCGCTCAGCAGATTGGGAGTATCCTCGATGCACTAGACGCCTCTGGTGCACCCGTCATATCACCATATTCTGGCTTCAGCGTCTTTGTCGCCGCTCATATCAACATGTACGGAACAATTGTCCCCCAGCGATATCCGGGCGGTCTCAAGCGGGCAGAGGAAGAAAAGAGCCGAAATCTTCTCTACCTTGAGCGATTAAGCAAACTCTGGCCCGTTGGTCATAGCTGGGTAACTAGTTCCAACACACCTCTAACCAAGTATCGCAACTAACAATAATCAGTGGCGAACGGTCCAAGAAGCAAGTCGATTCTACGAAGTGGTCAGGAGTAACCAGGCCCATTCCGAGTCTGGGGTGCACAGCCCTAGAAGATTTGCCCTCGTAGGTACCCTGGACGAATATGGTGACATTCGATCTCGTCCGAGCAGAGATGCATATGCGGCAAGAGCACGAACCTCCGAATCTCGTGATACACACAGCTCTCATGTCCGCGAAGGAACTTTGTCGTCGCCTGCTGTTGGTGGTGAACCCAACTTTCATGACAGAGAGAATGCTGCGCTTGGTAATCCTCATGATTTTGAAACAGATATGTTTCAATGGCCATTTATTGATGGATCGTGGTCCCTTGGGTTTGATACTGGATTTGATGGGCTGTGGTCTAACTCGGGGTTATTTGACCTAAATCCCTCTCTTAGGTGATTGTACTCTTTTTTTTCTCATTGGGGTAGATATTCCGCTGGGGAAAAAAAATTCCATCACAACACGATATCGTCAATCAAGAGTTGTACATCCCCCCGGTGTGGTTATATATCACCACGTTTTGCTTGCATTTTACGCATCGAAGAAAGTCTGAAGGAATCATGTTGCAAGTCATCTTATTCAATAAGCATCTCAGCAAATTCCAACTGATTAATTAGAATAGGTACATTAGCTAGCTACACAATGTTGTTTGAACGCTGTATACAGATGGGTTGTGGACAGGGTCTGAAGTGGATGCACACTTGAAGAACAAAAGTAGTGATGAAACCAAGATGGACCGTATCATTCATCAATCAGCAAAGTGGCCGAGCAGTAAATCGATCAACGCATCTTCCTTGGTCTAGTGGTGATGATTTCCGCTTGTCATTAACACCGATAAGCGCGGGAGACCGGGGTTCGATTCCCCGAGGGAGAGATTTCTTTTTTGGGCGGTTTGATTCTTTTTCCTATTCTTATGTGTACACTCTCTGATTGAGAAAATGACAGATTTTTCGAAGGAGAAATAAATAATACCCAAGACTGAAACCGACTCTGCAGGAGGAATTATCCCCGGCTTATTGCATATCTAGATTCGACATTTTAGGGCAAAAAAACAACACTGCAGCAAATGATCTCATAGAATACCATCTAGACATTCAAATGAAACGAAACCTTCCTTGCCATTCCATCAAGACACCCAGCAATGTCAGCACAGTAACAATCACATGGGCCGTTTTTAAGGGCCAACATTATGTTGACCAAGTCGTGCTCTATGGCAAGAAAAACATCCTCGAATTTGTAATGGCCATCAAGTCCACGGGACCAAAAGGCGGTATTGCGACGGATTATCTCGCTGTCAGGAGCCCCAGCAACCATATCGAGGGCGATGTTTATAATCCGATCCGTTTGAACTGACAGTTCTACTACTGCCCGAGAGACATCCTTGATACGCTTCTTTCCTCGATCATCTGGATCACACTGTAGGATATGGACTTGGACATCCAAGTTGGTTTTGAAGATGCGGCATTCATCTAGGAGTTTGTCTTGCAAGTATGGGAATACTGAAGGCATGGTTTTGGTGAGTACTAGCCTGGCTGTTTGATAGATTTAAGTAAAGGGGGGAGGGGGGCGCCACCATTTATATTTAACAAGGTTGCTCGGTGAAGATGACTATCATTGAAAAAAGAGGAGAAAGAAGCTCATTGTTTGTTTTTTGATTGCCCCAGAATACAAAGGGGATGTAAATCAATGAAGACCTGATCTTGTCTGTGTTTCAAGGTTGGTTGATAGAACAAAGACAATCAAATTACCTGGACACAACCCTACCATGCAAGTGAAAATCCACGTGTACCTACAGTAGTATATGCATATCAAAAAGTTAGGGGAAAAAGGAGGACGGAAAGAAAATTCATTAGGGTATAAATGAGTGGGTATAGAATATAGAGACATCGGAAGAGAACGTCCCTCGTTAATGTGTTTCCACGGTCTGTGATACAGCAATCGTTTTCCTGATGCCATGGTCGTGGATGAACTCGCCAGAATCGCCGTCCTCTGGGGGGCCTGCGAATGAAATCAGATGGCTCTGGTCACCAAAGGCTGTTACCTTGTCCCAGTCAGTAGCAACATGGGAAGCCGGGCCCGGCTTCCTATCACTCAACGGATGGGATGAGCTGCAATTCAGGTAATATTTCTGCGACGAGTAGTTCTTCTTGTAGTGGGCCAGCATGACATTGAGGACAGGAAGACAAGCGCAGATCAACCCAACGCCTCCCTCGGCATTGCTACTAGACGTTAGAAGAAAAAAAAAATCCAAGACCAAATGGGAAAAGATCTACGACATACCCAGATAAGATGATGCGAACGAACATGAGGCCCTCATCACTTGAACCTTTCAAGATTAGGATCAATCGGTAAAGACTGAACCCGGTGGCCAGCCCACCAGCGCCAAGTAGGCCCATCACGCGAAGCTTTCGATTGCGCGACATTTGCAAAGACCATGTCAATGGCAACGGGAGAATAAGAATGATGATGTCACTAACGACACTAATCACGGAGTCGGCGATGAAGGCGGCGGTTTGGTTCAGGCAGCTTCCCGGCACCTGGTTTCCAAGCCAGTACCTGGGGATGGGGGCGCAGATGCGAATCTTGACGATCAAGGCGACGGTGTAGTAGCAGCATAAGCAGCCGAGGAAGACATAGATGAACCAGACTTTGCCGCGGAAGGGGGCGAAAATGCGGGTGAGAATAGCTAGGAGGGCGATTTTGAGGAAGAGCGCCATCGGACAGTAGAGAATAGTCGCTATATAGCAGAACTTTTTGAACGCGATGATCTCTTTAGTGTCGAGTTCGGTAATTGGGTATCCTCCGCCATGTTGACCGACTGGTAAAGTGAGTGTGTAGTTGATAACATGTGGGAAGTACAGCACCTACTGACGATGGATATTGTACAATATCCCATGAACAGAAGCTGCGCAAAGTCAGTTTTGGCTACTTAGGCCCCAAATTATCTTGCTCAACGTACCCAAGCAACCGTACAGGCAACTAGACAATGGTTAGCAAGATGTCACGAAAAGTGTATGCATGCCAGGGAACAACTCACGATCTTCAACCCCTAGGGGTAGCTTGAATCGAAACCGGGTATAAAATCGCAATGCTACGAAGACAGTCACGATTGGAATACAGAGAGCTTGTGTGACGAGATTGATAGTGTGCAATACATCTGTTGGGTTCTCGACCGTCATGATGGGCTTGAAGATGAAGTCCCCCCTACAACGCAAAGTAGCGGATAATCAATATGATAAAGGCCTTCACATCTTGAAAATGAGAATCGACCAAACGACGATCTTTACTCCGTAGCGCGGACTTGAAAGCTATCGAACCACTACTATGAAATAGTGGCGCCAAATCCATCATGGTGGTGAATGAATGCCCTATGGGCCGCGTTAGACCCCACCACTGGGCTCTTCTCAATTCTGAATGGTTTGGGGGGCATTTCTATGACCCATGAAGCACACTAGATGACGCTAAACTCGGGGTTACACCCCACCAGTATGCACGAGCGTCGTAGGTGCCAATAAGCCAGGCAAATAGTATCAATTCTAGTGCCTTGTATTAGTCCGATCCAAAAATTGCACCGGTTCGCCACTAACACCGTTGTTTTGCTAAACAGATAAATGGGCCTTGGTTGAACCCTAAATTGACTAGCCGAGGCACTTTGATAGCTTCGAAAGCAACAATGCCTTTTAATTAATGATCGACATTGGGCCAAAAAGGAGTTGTCAGTGTTTTTTTTTCTGCTTTCCGTCTTTTCTCCTTCTACAATTCTCTCGGTTCTCCATAATTTGATACATAGTAAAACGACAAAGATCCCTCCCCCCCCCCAAAAAAGAAACATGACCGTCCACAACTTGAATGGCAAAGACTCCGGTCTCTTCAAGCCCCTGGCTATTTCAAATGGCAACATTACCCTTGAACATCGTGTCGTCCATGCGCCTCTGACCCGCAACCGCGGCGAGCCATTGAATCCTTTCAGCACTCCAGATCACCCAAATCGTATTTGGATACCTGGAGAAGCGGTCGTGGAATATTATTCCCAGCGTGCGACCAAGGGTGGCTTGATAATTTCTGAAGGGATTCCACCATCGCTCGAGGTAAGTATCGAACCCAATCTGGTGGCACACGGTCTTCTTTTTTGGGCAACAGATTCTGGTAGTCCCTCGGGATTGCACGCTTAATTAAAATTTTTCAAACGCAATTTTTTTTCAACTCCGAACAGGCCGCGGGCTGGAAACGAGTCGTGAACGCCGTTCATGCAAAGGGGGGCATAATCTTCTGTCAGCTGTGGCATGCTGGCCGTGCTACGATCCCTCAGATGACCGGATTGCCCGCGGTTTGCCCCTCGGCCTCTGTGTGGGATTCGGCGACGGAATGTTATTCGCATCCGCCCGTCGGCTCCACCAAGCCCGTGCCCTACGCTAATCACCCGCCCATCACAATGACAGTGGAACATATCCAGCGGACGATCGCCGATTATTGCATTGCCGCTAAGACTGCTATGGATATTGGATTCGATGGCGTGGAGATCCATAGCGGAAATGGTTACCTACCGGAGCAATTTTTGAGCTCCAATATCAACAAGCGTCAGGATGCCTACGGTGGTACTCCAGAGAAGCGCTGCCAGTTTGTGTTTGAATTGATGGAGCAGGTGGCCAAGACCATTGGTGAGCAGAATCTGGCTATTAGACTATCGCCGTTTGGTATGTTCAATCAAGCACGCGGAGAACAGCGTGTTGAGACTTGGACTCACCTGTGTGAGGGTCTGAAGAAGACTCTCCCGTCGCTGTCGTATGTCAGCTTTATTGAGCCGGTGTGTTTTCGTCGGTCTTTATCTAATAGCACATTGCTAATCTACCCAGCGTTACGAGCAAATCTTCAGCGTAGAAGAGAAAGATAAGTTTCTCAAGAGCTGGGGTCTGCTGGATGTGACCCTTGATCGTTTCCGCCAGATCTTTGGCTCCACACCGTTTTTTTCCGCTGGTGGATGGGACGATCAAAACTCCTGGGGAGTAGTGGAATCAGGCAAATACGATGCTCTGTTGTATGGTCGATACTTTACCAGCAACCCGGATCTAGTGCACAGACTGAGGGAAAAACTCCCTCTGGCTCCATATGACCGAACTCGGTTCTATGGACCATTCGAGGACACCACCTTCCATTATACCGACTACCCTACGGTAGATCCGAAGTAGGTGATTCCACAGAGTGTCCCTTGTACTCCGTATAGAATTTGATATTAGAATTCTTATTTAGATGCATGTTGAACTTGGATCCTTTTAAGCATAAAGATAACCCTGGAAAAGTCAAGAGTCCAGACCCCGGCCGACTGCAAAGTGAACCATGGCATACCTTTCGCTTTCTAATCTAGTCGCCAAAGAATTTACTTTTTTTTTTTAAAAAAAAAGATCAAATCCGCTGTTGGAGAGTATACAGGAAGTTTAATAAATGCTTCTCTCCTTAATGTCTATCTCTATCTATCACTAGGATAGCAGTAGTGGCCTGTGAGCGACGACAACCGGACTTGGGGACCGTCTGGAAACTACTCACTTTTATTCACCTCACCGTCTTTCACAATTTTTACATTCGGAACACACTTTAAGATACACTTTAAGATAAAATTTCCAGGTTCAGATTGCGCTCTATGTGTTTTCCATGATATTTTATCAAGAGTCTACAGAGCATCGCTTTTGTTTCAATTTTGCCATTTCAGGTGATGACGCAGTTGAGATTTTTGGTAATGGATTTCACGTCATCATGCACATATACATTTCGGTATGCCAAAAATGAATGGAAGTTATGATATCAAGGTAAATAGAAGAGAGAATGGTTGCCTACTAGCCAAATTGTTTTGCGCCACTCTAAGGCTGAGCTGTTTAGAAAGCACAATCTCTCTGTACGGAGTACTGAGTCTAGGTGCATCAGTTTCTCATTTTGCCTACTCAACATACTATTTCCTATGCAGGCTGGTTGAGGAGACTAATTTGATCATCAACCCAAGTCCGACCATTCCAACCATCGTTGTCAATCTCACATTTGTGCCGGTTATTTGCAACGCTGGTTTAATGGATATCCCCCACTGTGAATCCCATACTCACGCTCAGCACAAAGGTCAATTGAATATTGGGTGGGACCAAGGTAGATCTCTTTTTGAAACACAGTGCTGGCCTTGAAACCATTCTCAAGAACAGTGGTGGCGCGGCAGCAGGCTTATTGACAATGAAGTCTGACCGCCGTTGTGTTTTCTTCAGACGTGGACAGGAAAAATGTCCAGACATTTGGAAGATTACGCTCGCGGGGGATCAGACATATGGCTCGAATGCATTTGACTGGTTGGCTGCGGGTTTGAAACCGCTCTCCCCGAGGTTCGAACTCGATTGGGTCCCATTCGGGGCTGAGAAGGCCGTCTGATTCGGTTAGGTCTTTTTGTTTGCATGTAGGGTAGAGTTGACACACTGCACAAATAATCGGTGATGTCCATGTTGGGAATTGAGCACGATGGGAGAGAGGTGTGAAGTGAATTCCGAACACCTCAGCCCTAGCAAAGATGGTGAGAGGTCAGTTCGTAGCAACGCATATGAGAATGGAATGAGACACGAGAGAAGATTCAATGTTTTGGCCTTCTGTCTGCTACTTCCTTAACCGATCTCTTTTGTCTAGTTGGCCTCTCTTGAGATGTGAGCCCTTTGTAGTTCGATTTCCAATCTCCATCATTTCTATTTAACAGTCAATCCCTTTCCGTCTCCCAAGATTGATAGCATTGGAGAGTATCCTGCGGCTGGTTCCAACCTCTTTCTATCGATATTCTATCACAACCACGGTCTACACACAGGTGGCCGTTCTGAAGAGAACCGTTTTGTTGCTGTTTTGCTGTTTGCAGTTGGGAGAGGATTTCCTCGGCTCCTAAATTTTAGCCACAATCCTTTTTTACCAAGTCACCCTGTTTATGGGATTTGGGCTTCTCTTGGTGGTGCTTTTTTTTTTTCTCTTTTTCTATCTAACTGTAAGTTGTAGGTGATAAGTGTAGGACTCACATCAAAAAGACTGACTAATAGGCATTTCTCCCTGTAGAGTGCTTGAGTGAAATGCGGTCCTAATGGTGCACTACAAACGTCAAAACCGATCTTATATGGTTTTCGTTCGGAGTAATCCAGATTGCCATCGTAGATACATTCTAGACTAGTAGATGATCACCACCCTATCGCAAAGTGCTGCATTTGACTTGGTGACCTGCTAATTTCCTAATTCAGCTATAGATACGACCGGTGCAACTTGATCTCACACACCCTGCAGGGCCTCGTATTGCTGAATTTGTCATTCCTCAAGAGTTCTAATTTAGAATGCACCCGTCGTGTTTCCCCAAACTGACATTTTGAGATCTCACTGGCTATAGAGAACCACATCATCAGATATAACCTGTCTTCCAGTACTGCTCAGCCCCGGAGACCTTCTTCTTCTTTCTATGACCATCATTCACATCGCCCGCAATGGATCTCATTCCAAGTGCCTTTGTGGAACGTCCATTGAAGATTGTGGTTATCGGTGCTGGGTACGTGCATGCTGAACTCGAGCGATAATCGCCTAACAGCTTGTGTTAGTATCTCGGGAATCCAATTTGCACATGATACGACCACATCATTATCAGGGGTCGATCTCGAAATATACGACAAAAATCCGTCCCTTGGGGGTACATGGTATGAGAATCGATATCCCGGGTATGTACTATATTCCTGCGAGCTTGGTTATCAGATGGGTCCGTTGATGTTGGGTCACAGCTGTACATGCGATGTGCCTTCCCACACCTACCAGTTCAACTGGGCGCCCAACCCATCATGGTCATCGCTTTATCCTCCAGCTCCCGAGATTCTCAAATACCTAGAGGATGTGGTTAACAGGCACAATCTTCGCCGCTTCATGACTTTGAACACTCAATGCGTCTTGGCGCAATGGAACGAAGATTCTTCAAAATGGAAAGTTGTTCTCTGCGATGTGAAGTCCGGTGAAGAAAAGACCGTCGTTGCTGATGTCTTTGTCTATGCTGTCGGGCGATTGAACGACTACAAGTTTCCTAAGATTGCGGGCCAGGAAAAATTCCGCGGAATCCAAGTCCACACTGCTAACTGGCCAGCGGAGATAACGGTCAATGACAAGCGAGTGATTGTGATTGGAAATGGCGCAAGCGCCATTCAGTGCGTCGCAGCTTTACAGCCAGGTGAGTTGTCAAAGTCAACCCGAAGACACACGACGCTGACGGCTCCGGGTCCTTTTAGTTGTTTCACAAATGATCAACATCGCGCGAGGACCAACGTGGGTTCTCCCACATGCATTGGCTGAAGACGGTACTCTCCAGCGCGAATGTAGGTCTCGCCTTACCACAGAAAGACAGAAGTGCTAATCCGTATTGAGATTCAACCGAGCAGAAGAATGCTCTCCAGGCTTGCCCTGTGCGCTATTATGACTTTTGCATCTCCGTGGAACAGAGACTTGCCGCAGGTTTCATGGGACTCTGGAGAGGAACCAAATCCCAAGCCCACTTTACATCATTGGCACATTCATTCATGAAGTCCAAGATCACAAACCCCGATCTTTTGAAAACCCTTCTACCAGAATTCGAAGCTGGCTGTCGTCGCTTCACGCCCGGTGGTCCCTATCTGGATGCGTTGCAGAAGCCGAATGCCGGGTACGTGCAAGACTCCATCAGCAAGCTGACTGAGGACAGCCTTATAACCGAATCCGGAAGGGAGTACGAGTGTGATATCCTGGTGTACGCCACGGGATTCGAGCCCTATCAGCCACGATTCCTAGTCACTGGCCGCGCTGGACGTTCGTTGAATGAAGACTGGGATCGCGAGGGACCTTGCGAGAGTTATATGGCTGCGATGGTTGCCGAGTTCCCTAACTTCTTTGGTAAGGACCCCAAAGCTTTTTGTTGGTCATTGTACTTAGCCGGCATCTCTTGGACAGTCTTTAATCCCCCAATCTGCCCTGTGAATGGGTCTGCTATCCCCGGAATCGAAAGGGCCAGCAACTATATGATTCGAATCCTATCCCGACTCCAAACAGACAACCTGCGATCAGTCTCTGTGACCCAGCGGGCGCAACGTGCATTTAACCAATGGGTTCAGTCAAGAATGCCTCACATGGTCTGGTCAGGACCATGCAAATCATGGTGTAAGTGAATCCTTATCTCTCCTAGCTTGGTGGGTTGACTCATCCTTGGTGGTACAGACAAGAACGACAATGGAAAAGTGGTTGTTCCCTGGCCGGGGACTGTCCTCCACTACTATGCAGCAACTGAAATTGTCCGCTGGGAAGACTTTGATCTCGTCTACGAGAACCCCGATGATCCATATGCAAGTTTCGGCAATGGTGTGACTGTTGATGGATTTGTGCCCAACCATTTCCCCTGGGTCCATCCCCCCATGAATTTTCGCAAGCCAGAAAAGAAGGTGGAGTCAGCTTCTTAAGTTCTTCTACCAAGTAACTTGTTGTATCGTATGACAAACCAAGTTTTATACTGGGGGGGGGGCATGGTTGTATCCCATTGAGCCACCAATGAAAAGTTGAAGGATCTATAGCTCGCTTCCAAGGCTTTCAGAAATCCAACCTGTTTTCGGGTTAAGTGATGATGTACCCAAGGTCCCTCCATTGTAGACTCCAACAACTAATACCACTCGAGCTCGTGCTACGTTTCTGAATGCTCCTGATATTACACGGTGTATAACATAAAAGTAAAATCTTGGCTCTATCGCGTATAAAATAGAACTTGACATCCGACGTTCTGAGCCGATTTGAACGTTAAGGTGGAGATCCCGGTGATTCATCGGCTATAAAATGCCCCGCGCTTGTGGTTTTCGGCAGATTCACTTGGATTATTAATGAGCGACTTTATCTCTTCTGACTTCAAAAGAAATTCTAGACTGGCTTTCATTTCTTTCCTTTTCTTACTGATTTCCATTAAGATTAATTCTTGTGTTGGTGAGTGACCCTCCAGCGTTCCAGCGACCCTGGGATTGGACGTCATCTTCATTGTGAATAGACAAGATCAATTCTTCAATCCATTCGAATCACTAATTTTTTTTCTCTTTGGCTAGAGCTCACGTAAAAAAAGAAACCTCCTCCCCCCCCTCCCCAACTCCCAAATTTCATAATGGCCGACAACAAGATGGAATATGTCCGGTATAGAACCCCCCCCCGACACACCTTCCCCTCGAACAAAAGTGCTGATGCCAAATCACTAACAGCCTTGGTAACTCCGGTCTAAAGATCTCCAAGATCATCCTTGGAACCATGGGCTATGGCAGTAAGCAATGGCAAGACTGGGTCCTGGACGAGGAAGACTCACTGCCCTTGATTGAACATGCCTACAAGCAGGGCATCAACACCTGGGATACGGTAAAATCAAGACATTGCAACATGGTCTAGATCGTCGAATTACATACAACGTACTAATATCTACCGTTTAGGCGGACGTCTACTCCCACGGCAAATCCGAAGAAGTGGTCGGAAAAGCCCTGAAGAAGTACAACATCCCTCGCAACCGCGTGGTAATCCTAACCAAGTGTTTCTTCGGCGTCGACGACGAGGGGAAATTCCCACCAATCGCCGCGTCTGCCACAAACGACGGCCCCTTTGTCAACCGCACCGGCTTGTCACGCAAGCATATCTTTGACGCTGTCGATGCCAGCGTGGAACGTCTGGGTACATACATCGATGTGCTGCAGATTCATCGTCTAGACCGTGATACCCCCCGCGAGGAGATCATGAAGGCGCTAAACGACGTCGTCGAGAGCGGGAAGGTTCGGTACATTGGGGCCAGTTCGGTATGTCCATCGTGCCTTCGACTTCTGCCCATTCCCCTTGCTTTCTTTTCTTTTCTTTCCTTTCCCAACCACCATCTACACACTAACCCCACAATCAGATGGCTGCCTGGGAATTCCAATCCCTACAGAATATCGCAGAGCGCAATGGCTGGCATCAATTTATTTGCATGCAAAACTTCCACAACCTCCTCTTCCGCGAAGAAGAGCGCGAGATGATCCCCTACTGCCAAGACGCCGGAGTCGGCATTATTCCTTGGTCTCCGATTGCCCGTGGCGCGCTGGCGCGCCCCTGGGGCTCGCGCGAGACGGTGCGCGAGAACACCGACGGCGCGCTGAAGATGTTTGTCCGCAGTCGCGAGTCCGAGGCTGACAAGACTATTGTCGATCGGGTTGAAGAAATCGCTAATAAGAAGGGCGTGAGCATGGCTCAGATTGCTACTGCTTGGTCTTTGACTCACCCTGGTGTGAATCCCATTCTTGGACTGCATAGTGTCAAGAGGATTGATGAGGCTGTTGCTGCTATTAAAATCCAGCTGTCTCCTGAGGAGATTAAGTATTTGGAGGAGCCGTATGTTCCTAAGGCTGTCACTGCTCTGGAGCGGTAAGATGTTGTACCTACGTAGTTTTTATCAAGGGCAGAGCAAAATTGGACTTGGAAAATTCCCTTTCCAACGTCAAAAGGGGGATTAGGAATGATATTGCACAAGAACAGCTCTGGGGCTTTCGATCATGAAGGTAGCAGTTTCGCCAGGCAGTAGTCGTAGACAACTAAATGTCCTAGATCCCCAAGGTCTTCTTCCACTGACAATTTACGGCATGCAAGGAGAGATATGTACTCCGCTCTCTGTATCCCTGTCAGATCCAGCTATGTAAATCCCCTCTATTACGGGCACTTTGCTTTTCCTGGAAGCAATCTGATGTGAGCACTTCTACGGGTTGCCACCCACTCGGTAGCCCCATCAGTCCATTCTGGCCCAGCCACGCATTCTCGACAAGTCACCCTTCTACGGAGTACGAAGTACACAACTCTTAAACCCGCCACATTGGCAAACGCCGATTCGATTGGAAATTGTACACAGGGTGTAGCATACATCACATGTTGATCCTCTCCTAGTATACTGATGACTAGGCAACAGTCTGCTCCGTGTACTTGTAGGATTCACCACCTCCACCCGCCTTGATACCTCATGATTAATGTAAGGTATCAATCAGTGTATTTCTTGGGTTCAACCTAGAATTGAAAATGGAAGCAATAGGGCTCTAAGCTCTCAAATCAGCATATAGTATGAGAGTTAACAACTGCCGGGCATCCGACTAACTTACTCTGCACTAGCAAATTTAGGGAGTTGCACAATATAGAAGAAGAATTTTAGGCAATTCCAAATGATATTAAACATTTGTTCAATACTAGGGACTACCAGGATTGATAGGCGGTATGAAGTAAGTTCTTATGCCACTGGAAAAAGAGCGTGGGAGAATCCCGCCGGGGATAGACTGTTGTAGATGGATTCTACTCCGAGCTCTCCGGTCTTATTTAGCGAGTGGATTGGTTACTGCAACAATTGACATGGCCTGCTAAAAGTTTCAGGCGAAAAAAAAATGTGATCATGGTGAATTCAGGCCCGTCTTTCTTGAAAAGGCATGGATTGTGGGTGTGAATTTTGGAAAATTTTGTAGATTGAAGGATGTGATAGTTCGATTTTTGAATTGATGTGAGAGTGCACAATGTATACATAGGTTTGATCTTTGGGTCATTGAAGAGACCAATGAGAGATTTTGAACTGTACAATGGAGACGGGGGAAATTGAAAAGCTCGCGGAATTGACAGTGGGTGATGGGGTATTTGTTTCATATGTAGCGTGATGGATAGATGGAAAGCAATGTACACAAGTGAAATACAAGCGAACAAATTTAAGTAAGGGCCCCCTGGACATGGAGATGAAGATATGGCGAGAAGAAGTATGTATAGAAAGAGAAGACCGGAAAAGACGCGCAAATGCAAAGGATGCAATATGCTAGTTGGAATGAGAGAGAGCAGAGAGTAGAAGAAAGAGAGAATCGGCAAGGACTCGTACCAGACGAATCGCACTGCACTGTATGAGTGGCCCAACTTGTGCCAGTTGAATTGAGACTCGAACGCGGTGCTGTGATGGCGCATGCCTACATGTGGAATAGCCACAGACATAATGCAGGCGTACATACGGCGATGGGGAATTGAAAAGTCAATGATTATCGTGTTTTCGGTGAAAGATACTAAAGAGAGAACTGAGGCGGCGGCGAACTTTGCCCTTGTCGGGGGTAGCGACGTCTTCGGGAAGTGGGGACTCTGGCTTCTTATTGCGGGTGCTGTTATGCTGTGGGATGCGTGAATTCGAAGCAAGAGGATCCCGATCTGGCCCCGGTTTGGATTTGAAATTTTCTCTTTCCGGCTGGGCGTTTGCAGGAGATTTCGCTTCAGGATGACCAGCACTATTATATGGATCTTCCACCTCAACGGAGGGTTGGCGAGGAGAAGGAGGACGGGAGACAACAATGTCGCGGCCGTTCTCGCCCGAGGTAGTGAACATGCTGTGTCGGTTCAGGCGAGTGCTAAGCCCGGAAGCGGATCGTCGTTTTGCTCGATCCATGAACGCAGCACCGGTGGAGTTGGAGCGCCTGGACAAACTACCAAATTGCGCTTTTTCTATGATGGATGGGGTTGTGGAACGGCGAATACTGGAAATTGACATGCAGCGTTTGCCATCTTCATCGTTTTTCGGGAAAGTGTCGGTTTCATTTTTGGGAGTCGTCGGAGATGGATATTTCAGAGATGTTGGAAACATCGTTGACTTTGTGCTGGGTGAAGACACCGGATCGTCGTAGCGGAAGTTGTCTGACCACCCCTCACGGAAGGCAACCCAGATGCCGGTGATTACAATCAAAGTTCGCAGTCCATCATCAAGGGTGACCAAGCTCCCATTGAGGGGAGTCTCTCCATCCGAAGCATCGCTCACAACCGACATTCCTGAGTTTGGAGTCGTTGGACCGGTGCCGGACCAAACAGCGGTGGAATATTCGTCATTGATTTCTAACCGATTTCGAGTCATGGAAGCGAGAACGGGATGCCGGCGAGTGGTAGGATCGATGACACTGAAAGTGAAGCGTTTGCCGTTCTCGCGTAATTGTGCCCCTATGGGTGTGGTCATCCGACGACTCCTCCCACTTCGCAAAGCCCACCGCACGATTTGAACACCGCTATCTGTCTGAGCGACAAATTCGTACGTCCCGCTTGGGAGAGGCGAGGCCTCCCAAACAGGCCCAAAGTTCAGGCATATCTCTGCCTTTCCTTTCAGTCGAGCATCTTCCCCATGCTTTTCGCAGATCGTGGCAACTACCTCGCGATGGTCTTCGTCCTCATCCTCCGAGCTCACGCGTTTTTCGGGAATGCTGCCCACCGTCCGGTCATATTGTTCACTCAACACCACAATTAGGTCATACGGACCCAATCCATTTCTGGTCCGATAGATAGCCGGGAACTTGCGAGCCAATAGTGGTAGGTAAGACGTCGATGGCAGAACATCCACCACGGGTAGGGGCCGAGGGGTTTGCGACACCTGTTGTAGCTGCAGGAGGAGCTTAGGACGAAGTCTCAGCCGCTTGTGGCGAGCATGTGCGGCGGGATGGGCGAACTGATATGATGTCTTGGGTCGAGACCTCCGACCTGTGGCTGAACGGGCGACTCGGGACCTGGTGACAACATCTGAATCTTTGGAGGGTTCCCCAGGGTCTGAGGCCGACTCGATCGGATTCATCACCATAGCGGATACAAGCCCCGGGCAATCAGTGGAACCATCAGGAAGCCTGGGAGGACTGCAGAAGGAGTTCAACAATGGTAGGGCACTCAGTAAGCTAGTAGCAGAGTAGATCGGACACAAAGAAGACTGGGATTCTGGTGCATGGGCTGCTGCGGCATCCGCTGCGAGGCCAAGATTTAAAAGCATTCTTGAGCCCTAGCGGAGCCACATTGGTGTAAAAAACACAGGTTTGTGAAGTTTCACCTAGACCCGGCGTACTAGTTACAAACGGCCCTTATTTCAACGCGTCAGCTGCGGGGGGGGGGATGTTCAGCCTCGGAGCTATGTGTGGGGAAGCCCTAGTCAGGATTGCAGGAAGGGCAAAACGAATAGAAATGTGAGTCAAGATTGTAAAGACTTGTAAGATATGTAAAAGAAAGAAGATGTAAGGGGGGAAGGGAGGGGTTGAAAAAGGTTTAAAGAGTGGTAGGGATGTTTGATTGCAGGAGCAATTAGGGACTTCCTCAGGATGAATGGGGCGGTCAGCCTTATAGAGCTATGTAATGGAAAAAAAAGGAAAAAAAGAAGGGAAAAAGAAAAGAAAAAAGAAAAAAGCAAAGAAAATTACGTAGTCGAGAAAGTCTATTTTTGTAATGAAACCCGATTGAGCTGCACAAATTGACCTCAACTGTTTATTTTAATTGTTTAATTATTATGAAATGTGTTTAAAACGTTTAATAAATACCCAATACGGGGCAGTTTGTACAAAGTAGTGGAATTGAATGCACAAACATTCGGCTTATGGCTGTCGGCGGTCTCGGTGGTATACGGCCTCCGATACATCCGGCTTCCGTGACGATTGTTCATCCTTTCTCTAAGATCGGGACAAGGATTTTAACCTCTACAACAAAAATACCTACCTTTTTGGCGAGCCCCATCTTGCTTTAAAAAAAAAAATTAAAAAAAAATAACATAAAATCTGATCTGGCCAGATTTTGCTGAGGTTCATTACCTTATGAGCCCATATCATAGTGTGAGAGCAGCCGTATAGTCTTGGCATGGGACTGTTGCCACATTCAAAAAGTGAACTTACCAAATTTTCTTTTGCATGACCTGAGGGATTTTGTATGTACACTACTCAGTTTAACCTTGGAATCGGATAGATTGATGTACCGGAGAGACCTCGGAAGTTTAATGAACTAGCGCTTGTCGGAGTTCGGAAGATCTCACTTGACCCAAAGCCTAAGAAAAATCCCAAATTGCTCTACGGGATACGGAGCGGAGTAGTGCAAGGTTGTATGAGCCGAAGGTTTCAAGGTTGATTTCAAGAATCTGATGTTGATCTTCAGACATCTTTTTTGTTGCACAAAAACGCCTTGAAATATGTACGAGAGTAGTCATGATTTGTAAAATTCCCCCAGAATTGCCACTCCAATACAGTCCTCCGTACGAGTGCATACAGCATGATCCAGACAGGAGTCCCCAGAGGTTCCGGGGCCGGCCTTTTAGCTAGATGACTAATCATGCACATTTATGCAGCCGACCCTTTCAGCTTTCACCTCCTTCCTTGGGAAAGTTACAAGGCTATCTCGGCAGACCGGATCACAAATCGGGATAATCGCGAGGTAAACATCCCGACATCCATCCAGGCATCCCGATTGCGGAAACTCCCGAGGTATCATTCAAATCATCCTGTTTAGTGGATAAAGTCACTGGAAACTTCTCATGGCTCCAGTTCAACCTACCACTAGGCCACCGCCATTGTTTGCCAAACTACTACGATTGGACAACCCAATTCGGAGTTTGACACTGGCATTTTGGTCATGGAAGGTCTTGGTGTACATCGTCGTTGTTGCCTGTCCAGGATCAGGCTATGATACATCCACCTCCTTGATCTCATATGTTGCTGATCCATCGACGGTTGCCAACTCCGAGTCTCTCTCGGGACCACTTCAATTTGCTAGATGGGACAGTATCTACTACCTAGACATTGCCGAAAAGGGATATCTGTTTGAGCAAGAATGGGCCTTTGGCTGGGGCTACACTAAGCTTCTATCCATTTTTGTTGCCGGTACATAATTCCTTCTATAACTCTACCCATATTGGGCATCTCATTCTAGCACAAACTCATACCGTGAATAGGTATTCGTCTCTCTGGCGGAGATGCTGGGCCCGCTAGCACTGCAATGGTAGGAGTGGTTCTCTCCCATGTTGCGCATTATCTGTCCGTGTTGGCGCTCTATCGTCTGTCGGCCAATATCTTTGGTCATGCAACTGCCACCCAACATCTGATTTGCTTCCTATCTGCAGCTCTTCACATCATCTCACCAGCGGGCGCTTTTCTGTCCGCACCCTATGGAGAGTCGATAGTCTCTTTTTTCAACATGGCTGGCTTTTACCTCTACTCATCATCTCTCATTGCTGAGCGCAATGGAGCAACGCGTCTACGCGATTTTCGAGTTCTCCTATCCGCAGTTCTGTTTGCGGCCGCCACCATGGTCCGTAGCAATGGGATTCTCAGTGGGTTCCTGTTTGCCTATGATGCAGCAGCTTTGGCTTGGAAGATCTTGACTAAAGGGCCCACACTACACACTGCTGTTCGCCTTGCCGTGATTCTTGTTGGTGGCTGTATCGTAGGATCTGGGATGGTCATTCCTCAAATTATGGCCTTTCGCATGTACTGCGTGTCCGAGGATGATCTTCGGCCTTGGTGTGAGTGGACTTTGCCTAGCGTCTATGGCTGGGTTCAAAATCATTACTGGTAAGCAGTGATTCGTGTCCGAATGCTACTATCCACACTAATACTAACTGCAATAGGGATGTCGGGTTCTTGAGATATTGGACTGTCCCCAATGTACCTCTTTTCCTGTTGGCAGCGCCCATGTTGGCCATTCTATGCCGATCCTCCTTGTGGGCATTACAAAGCCCCTCTTCCTCCTTAACAAGCCCGGGGTCAATGCTCGTTCGACTGGCGGTTCCCCAGGGTTTGCTGGCTGTCTTGGCATTAACCAGCTACCATGTCCAGATCATCAACCGCATCTCATCGGGGTATCCCTTGTGGTACTGGTATCTGGTTACTAGCGCTGTAGACCTCAGTTCAAGTACACCCAAGCAAAGCCGGACTCTTGTGGCCGCTGTGTATAGCATGGTGGCCTATGCGTTGATCCAGGGTGTTCTTTTTGGTTCTTTTCTACCCCCAGCATGAAAAAAAAATGACGATGACCCGGCTTGGTATTGATCCGAGTCACCCACTGTGTATCTTGATGTGTGATTTAAGTCGTTAGACGTGGCCTAGACTGCTGTGAATGGCCAAAAAAGCGGCCTTTCCGAATCGGGTTCGGCGGTACGCTTGCGTAAGATGGCTGTCTGCCTAAGTTGGGGTAAAAGGCGCAGTCGCTCACTATCTGAGCTAATTTAAATCTGAAAAGAAGAAAGGTGAAGAAGACAGATTTTTGCACATCTTTCTCAGACTATCCTATCTCAGACTATCAAGAGAAAATTCGACTATATTGCATCTTTCCACGCGGGTCACTCTGCAGGGCCCAAGCTTCCAAGGTATTCGTTACGTATAATTATGTCATCACGACCTCGACCATCTCCCCTTTGACCTCTTGATCTTGAACATCAAGGTATTCCAAGAAGAAACGAAGATACGGAAGCCGAAGTCCTGAACTACTCAATTAACAAAACGAATACGAGCCTGTCATACTGCCCCCTCGCTTGCCGAGAAAAACAAGTACCTTATGCGAACACAACCGTGTTAAACACAATCTCCGGCTCCAAATTCCGCGCTTTTCGGAGTGGGAGCTTCAGAGTTTCATTAGAAGTACGATCTGCTTCCAAACTTATTCTGTAATTGATTCTTTGCGAGAGAAAGATGATCTTGTGAAACATCGGCGTTGCTGACGTATTGCTGCCAGAGCTAACCCGACGGCAACGGCTACTCCTCCCTCACCTCATCTCCACCCCGTGTCGACTATTTCCTTTCTTGCCTCTCATCCGACAATGGAAGACTCCGGCCGCAAGGCGATTCTAACATCAGACAATTTCCATCATGCACAAGAGCTGTCCCGGGCGACCTCGCCCGGTGGTGAGCCCGTCGCCGTGAATAGCGAAGGCGAACCGATAGCCCGCGTGCGGCCCCGTACCTACCCATACTTCAAATATCTTCCATACCAGCTCGAGGATGAGACTGAGCGTAATCAAAATCTGCGAGAGATTTTGAACCAGCTTTATATTGCAGTGGAGGCCGGCGACTTCAATCCCGGAGCCGTGCACTGGACACGCGAGCTACGCGGATGGCTGTCGCTCAAGTTTGATCCAACCCGGGCGCAGCGCATCAGCCTTGTAAAATTGTATTTTGAGCTTGCACTTGCTCCTGGTATTGACCCGTCGGTCGCCGAGCGATTTTCGAGCATGTTCATGCTTCTCACGAAGTGAGTTTCGACCAGAGTTGTTGAGGGAGTAGTGCGGCTGCTAACCCAGAATTCTTAGGCGCAAGCATTATCTAAAGCCAGTCAAAGACCTCGTGTTAGATTGGAAGCCCCTATACAAGGAGCTCAAGGCTTTTGTCCTTCCCACTGAGTCCGGCCTTGTTCACTCGACCAACCTAAAGCGGAATGTCAAGACCCTGACCAAGCTTTGCGCATTTGCTCAATTATTCATTGACCCGTGTGAACTTCCCGCCATGCTAGAAGAGTTTTTGCCTCATTATACCACATCGTTCTCAGAAGGTGCCTTCGTTGTCGCCGGGCTCATTAATTTGCTGCTTCCGACCTCCCCTGCTCCGGATTCGCGAGCCGATCTCCAACCACAGAGCCATCTGCCTACACATTTCCATTTGTGGTCATTGGTCGGTCGGTCAAAAACATTCGACACAACATATCTGGACTATCTCTCCCGGTTGGCCCGAGATTCTCTGCCGGCTGCTCACATTCCATTCTCCGAGCATGGTATCTTCACAAAGGAACAGTCTGCTCTCGTTTTTACCGCGATACTGAGGTTGTTGGAAATCCCGGTCGGGCAATCTACTTCCCCGTATAGTGCCTTGGTGGATATTTCGTCTGGTCTGGGTATCATGCTTGATCGCGATGGGCGGAAGCACCCGGTTGCTCACCATATTGCCCGGTGGATTGTAATGTCGCTTTCACCCGCTTGTGTGGATGCCGAAGTTTCTATTCTCACACAGCTGGAAGGACTCATCCAAGCCGTTGAGACTTTTTTCCACCCTTCAAACTCGGGCCATTGGACCAAGACTCTGTCACAACTGGTTTATTACCTGACCGATTTTTTTGTCATGCGTTGGAATCGCGAACAAACCGGTGAGATGGATGTCCCACCTGAGCGACAATTGAATGAGCCTCTGAAGCGGCGGTTTGTCTTGTGCATCCGTGACGTAATCTTCATGGGAATATATGCTAAAAGCAGCACTGCAATGACCTTCTCCCTGTCGACTTTACAAGGCTTGGCCTACTTAGAACCGCATCTCATCCTACCCGGGGCTTTGCAGAGAATCTACCCTGCGCTGCAAGGTCTTGTCGAAGTGCACCGAACTGCGTCCTCGCTTCGGGCTATGACATCGCTATCTCGTGTTATTTCACGCACCAAGGGTTACCGCTGTCATATGACAACCTTGTTGGGTCTGACCCTCCCTGGCATTGATGCGAACGACCTTGAAAAATCGCTTCATGCCCTGTCGTTCATTCAATCGGCCTGTTACAATATTCCTATGGTTGACTTGACCCAAGGGCGAGATGACATCAACTGCAATATGCTTGCCATGCAATGGATCTCAGGTGAAATGGAGAGGATGGAAGAGCAAGGGTCCGATGTGCAGCTTGGTTATGATACAGAGTTGGATGATGAGACCGAGGAATTGATCTTGCGCTCTTCGACATGTGGTTTCGGAGACTTCACGATAGCTTTCCTGGGTCGCGTCTTCACCCTCTTGGAAAATCTGCCCGACGTCTCCAGAGTTCGTAACGGTTCGCCCGAAGAGAATATCGTGAACACTCTCCCCGCCACGTTCATGCCTTTGCTCGCTTCTTTGTCCCCGGAGTATTTCGATATCGCTTTGGGGAAGATTGTAGATTTCGTGTCCAACCACGTCATTCACCAGGCTCGTGATGCAATGGCTTTCATCTGCAATGCCCTGTGCAAGGTGAACCCCGAGAAGGCCCTCAAGCGTTTCATCCCTGTCTTGACTGCGGCTATCCGTACCGAGATTGAAGACAATGGTGCCGGATCAACACGAACCACAGGAACTGATGTTTTGCCTCGTGATCGAGGTCTAGTCTGGAATGTCAGTATGCTGAGCATGTGTGTGGTGCATGTCGGCAGCGCCGTCATTGGCCACCGCCAGGAACTGTTTGACATTGCAGTCTACATGCAACAGAACTGCCGTGGCATTCCTACAGTCCATATTTCCAACTTCATCCACCACCTTCTGCTCAATCTGACTGGAACCTACACTAATGATTTTTCACTCTACGAACCTTCAGTCAAAGCGAACGGCATCGGGCCGAAGCTATGGAGCTATCAAGCTGATGTGAACAACCTCAACATCAATTGGCACGTGCCGACGCGTCGGGAAATTGAGTTTGCCGTCGACGTCTTCAAAATCCAAACAGAGACGGCTTTGAAGTCGCTGTCTGCGCTGACTCATGAGACATCAATTGTCAAACGTGATGGAAGCGGCAAGGACTGGTCGGATGAGGTTACTCGGAACCTTGTGCTCTTGCGGCTCGTGTTGTCTGGAGTTTCCGTTCTCTTTGATCCCAAAGCCGCATCAACTACAACGCTCGGACCTTCAAACGGCCCCTCTGGGGATGTTGAGATGGGTGGTGATTTTGGTGTTTCAAATGACATCGAGGAAGATCCTGACACTGTCCTGGACAGCTCTGATGATGCTATAATCAGACAAGCTTTCACCTACCCCACTGGGTATGCCCTCAAAGAAGGAGACCCGTTATATACCACCATCCATGAACTACGTGAGCGAACTGGTTGGGTCTTGCATGATGTACACCGGTTCTTGAGTGATAAGCAAGAGGATGATGTTCCTTGCTTTGGGGCTTTGTACTCTGCCTTCAGATCGTGGTTTGTTGATGTGGGCATTGAGAGATCCGCTCATGTACTAGACCGAGTAACTCGCCTCTTGGCCGCGGACATTCATCCTTATAAGATGAGTGGTATGCGAAAAGATTACCCCAGAGCCCTGCTTGTGCGCAGAGCCAACGTATATCACCTGCAACGGCTAAGACACAACGCTTCTCCCCGTCCTCGGTCTAAGCTTGATGAAATTCTTCTTCTTGATATCGCCGAATCCTGTGTCTCTCTCTACACAGAGACGCGCCGTAATGCCCAAAACGCAGGCGAGTCAGCACTCAAGGCGGTCTATGGTGGCAGACTGCTGGTCATCCCCCCTCTACTCACGGCTCTGCAAAGAGGTGTCAAGGAAAATGACCATGCACGCATCAAGGGAGCACTTTACTCGTTGCTTCTGAGCAGTGTAGCCAAAACTGTTGGGCGGCATTGGAAGTATGCGCCTGCCGTGGTCAGAACCTTTATCGATGCCAGCGCCGTTGACAAGCCTTCAGTCCAGAAGATTTGCTCTACCGCAGTATTCCAGGTCATGGATTACGGTCGCGCGATGGAGCGAATGGCTATCCTAGATCAAGAAATTGTAGAGGCAATAGCTCCTACTGAGGATGTCACCGGGCAGATCGAGAAAAAGCGCGCAGTTGTCAATAGCAAGCGCGTTGCTATCGAGAAAAAGAAAGCTGACCTGGCCGAAGAGCTGGTAAACCTGGCACGGGTATCCCACTGGAAGATTGCTAGCCGCGCTGCGACCATTGTCATCACTATGGGTCTCCGCTTCGACTATATCGCCAGCGATAATTTGATCGAGCTGATGACACTCGGGTCTATTGACGACCACCCTGGCTTGCGCGGCATGTACTCCCAGGCGCTAATCGCGCTATTCACTATGATTGATGTGCGAGCAATTTGCACCCACGAGTATAAGAACTATGTTCTTGGTCATCAGCGCTTCCCGTCAAAGATCAAGGTTGCAACAAAGCCCTATGAGAAGGGATACACCCAAGAGTATATTTCTAGCTTCGCGAAACCTGAGGCAGAGTACTACGTTGATCATGATTTCCCAGGCTGGCTTGTGTGGGGCAAGACTATGCCTGCTTACAAGTCCAACGTAGCACGGGACATTGAGTATGACGATGTTGAATGGAAGGTTCGTACCAAGATGGGCAAGTTATTTACTCGCGAGTGGTTCTCCAAGTTCTTCATGTACTTGAAGCAAGAGCCACGGGACCCATCTGCTGACAAGTTCCGCATGTCCTGTGCCATGTTGCTTCTCTACGCATTCGAGCTCATGATTCGGGACGGGCTTACAGCCGCCTCGTTTGAGGAAATCCGAGAAGAGATCAAAGAAGTCTTTGAAGATGGCAGTGATAAGCACCAACATCGTGCCACGGCTGAAATTCTCGGGGCTTTGATATCCTCTGTGACGGATACAGGCGTGGAGAAGCGGACTATGGTCTGGGCGTATGCATTCCCCATTGTACGGCAGATCTTCACCGACGGCCTCACTCCAGAGAACTCTGGCTACTGGACAACATTCCTTCACATGATCCTTCAATGCCGTGATCCCCGCCGCGCTTGGCCGTTGGTCGATTGGCTATCCAGCTTCCGTCTTGACATGTCGACCAACGCAGCTTTCAAGGAAAGTTCCAAGATCAACCTCCTGCATCAATGTATCATTGATTCTGGTTGGCATTACCAGCTCGAGAAGCCCATTGTGGAAGATTTCCTCGCACATTTGGACCACCCGTACAAGGGCGTCCGCGAAGCAATGGGTCAAACTCTTGCAACTATTTATCGTACGAGGTACCACGAGTCGTACCCTGATGTTCAGCATCTTCTAGAGGCCCAGAAATCCGCGTCTTCTGTCGGCACATATCCCTACCCGCCTACCGAAGATTTTACAAAGGTGATTCATGGAGTCTTCACTCGAATCGAAGAATGGCGGAAGGCCAGGACTCCTGGTCAACAGACACCCTCATCCTACACCTCGGGCAGCAAAACTGTTCTCCTTTGGCTGGATTCGACTTTGTCTTCTCACGAGTGTACCCAGCTTGTCTCATTCTTCCCCAATGTCTTCACCGCTCAGCTCCTGCACATGATGGATGTGAAGGAAGACCCAGAGCTCCAGTCCCTTGCATACCACGTTTTCCGTCACCTCCCCAATATCCCGTATCCAGCCGAGAAAAATTCTGAATTCATACAATCTCTCATCCGTATCGGACAGACATCCCCATCATGGCATCAGCGCTTACGTATCATGATCAACATCCAAATCATCTACTTCCGCCGCCTGTTCCTGCTCGACCCCGCAGACCGCGACAAGCTCTTCGAGTGTATCGCCTCCATGCTCGAAGACCCCCAGCACGAAGTCCGTGCTGGCGCCTCAGCCACACTATCCGGTATGGTCCGATGCTCGCCTGTCTTCCTGCGGGAAAAGATGGTCAGTCGCTTCCATGACCGCTTCACGAAGGTTCTAGCAGACAACCCTCTCCCTAAGAAGCCAAAGACCTTCCGCTCAGGAATCGCCTCCTCCACGGTATCGTCCAGCGCTGGAGCCCCTACTCCCGAGCACAACCGCTTAATCATTGTTCGCCACGGCGCTGTGTTGGGTCTCGGCGCATTGATTCAGGCCTTCCCCTACAACAGTCCCCCGCCTCCCTGGATGCCTGAGGCATTGACTTCACTCAGTATCCGCGCAGCCAACGATCCTGGCATTGTTGGTTCGAGCGTGAAGTCGATTATCAGCGAGTTCAAGAAGACTAGACAAGATACTTGGCATATTGATGCAAAGGTTCGTGTTTCTGTGTTTCTCCTCAATCCTTTTTCGAAGCAAATAGCTGACGATAATTCTTATAGGCCTTCACATCGGATCAGCTAGAAGACTTATCGGGTGTTCTATGGAAGAGCTACTTTGCGTAGATGGAACTTAGGTACTGCCCAGACAACTCCTAGTAATGTGATTAATGGCCGTTCATATATATTACTCGGTCTCCCCCCACGATGAGCTCTCTGATAGGATGAGATGTCTTTCTAGAAACGAAATGAAAGACTTGCGCTATTTTTTATCTGCTCTTTATATAGACATCATGGATTTCTCTCCACTTGCGATCATGGGTAGCTGGGCCAATCTGTTCGAATATCAATGTGTGAATGACAAGTCATGTCCTAAGGCTAACCAAATGATTCTCCAAAACCTGTCTTTTCTAATAGCCCACACGACTTAAGTGTGCAAGGGAGATAGCAAGCCATAGACAAGAATCCTAGTGCTTCAGATCTTTAACAAGTAGCCAAATCAGGAAATGCGGGTTACATCCACTTTTCAACTGGAAAATTTTGGAAGTTGGTACAAATGACAGTCACACAGCTTGGAGATGGCATTCCAAGTCATTTCCAACACTCCCTTTTCTTGGCTTCTGAGACTTAGACTGTTGATGTTCAGTCAGATCGATCACGTCGGATTTGAGTGTGGTATGACCCAGGTCTTAGTCGGAGATGCAGTCAACGCCGCGTAGTGATGACATCGTAGGCCCCTTAACCCTATCAAACGGCCTTGTAGGTGTTACGGCCAAACGGATTCATCGCTTCGTCTTTCTCTTATACAGGTTTGACCTGTTCATACAATCTAATTGCTCATCTCAGCACTTCCATTTCCATCCTACCACACATACCACGCACATCCTGTGCTCGAAGCCAAAGCGTGCATTTTTTTTGCCTTGTAACTTAGTTATCGCTCGTTATGAAACTCCTTACCAGAAACAGGACGCCCTCTCCGTTTGATTTTAGGTCTCCCGTCTCTCCATGGGATCCCTGGTGGGCTTGGTTGCGCTGGTTGGGGTATCTTGCCTGTCTGATCACCGCTATCCAGACTAGCTCATATCTATTTGGATACCCAGAGGCAAATCTTATGACCATCTCTGCCTCGTTGTATGGCACCAGGATTCTTCGGCCTGGTCAGTATTATGGGACTGTTGGTGTGTGGGACAAGGTAGCAGACGAGGACTCACCTGAGCCGGATGTGTTGGGCATGGCACATGATCGGAGGTTTGTATCTATTTCAAAGAGTGGTGGTATATCATTCAGCTAAAAAAAGGGGTTGTGCATTAGAGACAAGCGATTCTATCAGGGCGGTACTTTGACCCTAACCAGCATCGAGTCCAACACCTCGCACCCAGTCCCACTTATCTACGATCCATACCCGATTTACAATAGTCGAGGATGGAAGAAGCAGTTTCATGGAAAATTCCAGCCCTGCATCGGCCCCAGGGGTCGATATCTCGACCGCAGGTCCACAGAAGACATGATCCAAGTCTACAAGGGCCAACAAGCGGGGTTCCCAGCACCGCGATTCGGATCTTACGAGGCACTGGGCCTCGACAAAAATGTCTGCATGGACCGGTACTCCCGCTTTGGGGCGTATGGATACGATGGCGACGGCGAAGATGAGGTACCGGGTTTCTCGCGCCCTCCCGCAGTGCCGTGGTACGAGGTTGATTGGGACAGGCTGCAAAACCTCTGCTTGGAAAGAAATGCCGACAGATACAAGTCAATCGAGACCGCCAACTCTTCGACCCAGAGTCCACTGGCCTTCGATCTTCCCCAAGACCCTCACAAAGTATGGGAGTCACCTGTGCGCGCTTCGGGTGTGAAGCAGTACCATTCTCGTTCGGCAGTGCTAATTCGCGCGTGGAATGGACTCAATTGGAAGCCTCACCATCGTGAATACCTTCGGGCTTTGATTATGGAACTTTCCTTGCATTCGGGTGGTGAATATCAGATCTACCTCCTGTGTCATGTCAAGGAAAACGAGATGCCCATCTTTTCTGACATCAAGACCATCAACCGGCTCAGGAATGCCATCCCAAAGGAATTTAGGAACATGGCTCTTTTCTTCAATAATAAACTATTGGAAGCCTGGTATCCCAAGATAGAAGAGCACAGGTGGATTGACCCTTTCCTATCAATTGATGTTAAAGACAACTCGTTTTAACAGCACTCACAGTCCCCAACTCCAACACCACCAACCTCTCCAAATCTTCTCCCAGTTGTATCCCCACTACGACTACTATTGGCAACTAGAAATGGACGGTCGACACACAGGGCACATCTACCACTTCCTCGACCGAGCAGTCTCATTCGCACGCGAACAACCCCGAAAATACCTCTGGGAACGTAATGCCTACTTCTATACCCCAGGTGCCCATGGCAACTGGAGCCAGTTCACACAAATGGTCCACGAGAGCCTCTCCGATAGATCCAACCGCACAATCTGGGGCCCAGTAACCGGCACCGGGATCAGACCACTAGGCCCGGATCCTCCAATACCATACCCAGACCAAGACAACTACACCTGGGGCGTAGGCGAAGAAGCAGACTTCATTACATTCCTACCAATATTCAACCCACAAGATACGCAGTGGACATTCCCGGACAAGATCTGGAACTTCAGATACGGACTGGATACGCCGCGTCGAGCCGCAGTCATCACAATGGGCCGGTACTCAAAGCGTCTTCTGGATCTAATCCACCACGCACAGGCGACGAAGGGTCTTGGTCTCGCGTCAGAGATGACGGGTGCATCGTGGGCTTTGTTTCATGGTCTCAAAGCTGTGCATGTCCCGCACCCGATCTATGCGGATGGTCAGTGGACGCCGAGGGAACTGGCGCGTATCTACAACCCTGGTCCGCCGGAGAATATTAACGGGGGTCCGGGTAGTATTTGGAATTTTGATCATCTGTTTGATCACATAATGTACCGGCTGTCGTATATGTTTACGACGCATAGCGGGGAGGATTTGTATAGGCGCTGGCTTGGGTACAAGACTGCAGAGCATGAAGGTGGGAAAACGGTTAGTATAGTATTTTCTTCCAAAGTTTTGTCTCATTGGGTATCGATCTTGGGATCATGGGAATTATTGACTGATTTGTCTGTTCTAGATCTCTGAGGATCGCTATGGTCGACATTGTTTCCCGTCTATGTTTCTTCATACAATCAAGAACACGGCCCAACAAATGGGGCCAGACAGGGCTGTTCCCTAACCCATGTCCAGATGGGGTGATTGGCTTGACATCTTAGTTTTCATTTGCTTGGAGCTATCTTGCGTTGAGGTAGAATGAAAATATGATTTGCTTCAATTTCTACATGTAGTTTTAGAAGAAGCTGGAGCCATTTGATATCATTTACAATACAAAATTGCGCCTAGTTACAGTTGTTAAAAGAGGTATATTGCAAGACAGGTCCATTTTAGATACTGAAGTTGTCTGATTGACACAAGTTAAACAAATCGTAGAAATGCACAAAACTGAACTCTTCGTCGCTGTGTCCATTGAGGAGAAGCAGTGAAAAGGCCGTCAAGTCAGGCCAGGAAGCAAAAACGATGCAACCTATGTGCGTGAATGGAACAACCCGAGAAACCGAGAGCAACTTACCCTTTATATGCTCTGTGAGTATTGATAATCCCCGCCCCATGAATGAAAAGCAGTCCATCTCATGACATCGTTAATAATACCAGGGAGTGAGTGCCTCTTCCTCTCTATCCCCTGGCATTATACTTCTCATTGAAAGCATTAACAGCTGGAGAAGGGATTTGGTTAGCGAGTGACACTATCTAGCATGATCTGGGTAACCGCTTACCAACAGCAATCTGTCTGTACAACCAGTTCCGTGAACTTTCGTCTTGGACAGGAATGAAGGGTCCGTTGGCACCGCCCTTGAGCGTAATACTCATTCCCGTGCGCTCCTTGGAGATGGTTTGGATATCTGTAAGACGGATGTCCCACTCGGTCGACAGCTTCTTCGTGCGCACCAGCATGATGCGTGCGTACGTTAACAAGACCAGCATGTCTCGACCAGGAAGCTCTAGGTGGGCAATGTAATCCTCATTGAAGTATTTGCCATCGTCTGTGGTCTTCAGCCAGAACTGTCCGAGAGCCTCACGCTGCGAGTAGGGGCGCACGATGCCATCGGTGCCAATAAAACGGGTGAGTCGAACACGATCGAGACCCTCGGCATCGAAAACAGTAGTGGTGTTGCGAACACCTTCTGCCAGATCTAGTAGTGAACTGTTAGTTATCAAACCCAGAGAGAGAAAATGGTATAACTTACTGGACGCAAGATCGAATGCACCGATTGCTGGCTTGGTAGCCAATCCAAGGACACCCTTTCCAACACCCTTGAGAAATCCTTGGATACCCTCTTTCTCGGCACCTTGCAGTGGATGACGCGCCAACCCACCGATACCGCTGGCTAGACTAGTTGCAAACGCGTTGCCACCAGCCGTGATCCCATACAGCGCGTGTTTGGGGCGGTTGCGCACCTTGGACATCCGGCGCTGGGTTTGGAACTCCTTATCAAGAGTAGCCGCGGCGAGACCCTTGGACATACTTCCAGTGAGTTTGGCCATACTGTCTGAGAATCCGAAGACGGACTTCTTTACGAAGCTAGTGGCACCCTTTGCGATACCAATACCCAGCTCTTGGGGACGGTCGGTCATGACCAGACCCTGATATGGCTCATAGAAGATGGCGGCGACACCGGAGCTGACATTGTTGAACAAACCAACAGGGTTACCCAAGAAGTCGGCTGAACCAAGAATGATATGGATTTGGCGCAGGAATTCTTGAGTGTAGTGTGCACGAACATTGCCGACCAGGCTGGGGAAGGAGACGCGGGCATTCTCGAGCATCAGCGCATTAAGTCGGACAGGTGCATCATTAACATTACCCATCGACATTGTCATGACGTTGACAAAGAACATCAACGGGTTGGAGGGCTGCATTTCATCTTCCACGTTGACGCGCTCGGTACGCATGAAAGAGATATCCATCTGCATGGGCTGGAGATGAAGGAGCTCGAAGTACACATCTTGGCCATTGTCTGCCTGTTGCGGCTCTGGAATATTGAGGTCTTCATCACAAAGTTTGCCCTCTTGTTCCTCGGCCCACGAAGCACCCGGAATCTTGACAAAGTCGAGCATGGCAAAGACGAAGTCCTCATCCAGTTCAAGTGTCATTTGCTGCAATAGCAAGGTCGCATACTTGACATAGAGAACACCGTACGAGTCGTCCTTAACCCGTGTAACCATTGCATGGAAGATCGGGTGTGCTTCCATCTCCTTGCCGGTCTTCGGAACAACACTGGGGTAAAGCAAGATGGGGAAGATTCCACCGTAGAGTTGGTTATCGATCTGGATCCACTTAATGGTCGTGTTCAGGGTCTGGTACAATCTTGACTCTCTGAACTTGATCTCAATCTCGCGGAATGTAAGATACAGCAGTTCCTTCAGGTTTTGGTTGATCAATGAGATTCCAATGCCACCTAAACGAAGTTGGGCCTTGAAGTTGACGTCCGAATTCATTTCCTTGATCTCGAACCCAGTGTTCGTGCCAGTCTGGGAAGATTGTCCTTTTTGTTGCTTGTACATACTCTTCGATGCTTTGAAATTGGACAGCACCAGAGTCTGGGTGGGCCCATCGGCAGCAATATTGATGTCAATGATCTTCTGGTATCCGCCAGGCTGCGAAGGTGGAATCCGCATTGGGATCAAGTTTCCTATCTCAGCAAGCTTGATGTGGCGCTCTTTGCCCTGACAGGTCAACACAAGCGACTTGTTTTTTGTCGCCGGGTAGTCCCACGCATACGGCATGATACTCCGCGCGGGAATTCGATACCGGATCGGTCTCCAGCCGCTAGCTTGGTCGTCTTCATCATCATCTTCCACATTTGGATTGGCTTGGTAGAAAATAAACTCCATATCGCTTTCATTGCGCATGGAAAACGGCCAATTGCGAGACTCGATACTGAAGTGTAAGAAAAGGGTTGCTCCTTCCATTACGATATCAACCTTGATCAGCTTCTGACGCTGGTTTGCCTTGGCTAACTTCAGATGCACAGTTCCAACGTTTGCGATGCTGAACGGAGAAGACCATTGGTTGTTGACGCCCGGGAAGCAGAGGCACAGCTGTTTCTCTTGTACTTGGCGAAGGAAATGAAGTGGTACTAACTGCCCGTTTTGAAGCTGGAGTACATTGGAGGATCCTGGTTCGCGCACGAGAAGATCTTCGTTGAGCTTGCTCTTTAGGATGAAACGCGGAGCAAGTGTGACCACTTTGGTCAGCTTGTACTTGCCCTCGCCTTCGGCAACAGACACTCCAGAGTGGAACTCAGATCTGCCTTGGCGATCGGGGAAGATGACCTCGAAGGTACTGCCAATAGCCTCAAAACTCTGCGGCTTGCTCCATGCAGAGTCGCTGACCTTTAGGATAGATCGGTTTCGTTGATCCTCGTTGGCATAAGAGTACATGTATGGGAGTGCACGGCCCTCGTCTCTTGGATCGGCTCTGAGTCCTTGCCCGGCAGCATTTCTCGCAGACTGAAGGAACGCTTTGCTTTGGATGTCCATGGGAAGGCCAGTCTTGTTCAAGATAAGGTATGGGCTGTAAACAGAAACCTTGAAAGCACCACCACTGTTGGGGATGTTGAAGTAATGCAGCTGTAACTTTAGTTGAAGACCCCGCTCATCCTTAAGAGATAAGGTATGCTCTCTGCGGTATTCTTGAGCATTGCCGTTGACAATGGCAAACTCGCTCTGGCGGAAGACCGTATCTTGCAGATCAATGCTGAGCAACAACAAGTGGGACAGCTCCACGACGTGGACTGGGCTGACGCCACCCTTCCTCAGGAAGTTTGTCCAATCCTTCTTGGTATTCTTGTCGTAGATGCGGTACTTGAAATCATAGGGCAACAGGTTCTGAATCTCCACAGGAGCGAAGATTCGGATTCTCATGTAGGGATACACGTTGGTTAGCGAATCTTTGCTATCAAAGGTTGCGTTGACTTGGAAATAGAAAGAAGGGGACTGCTGTCCGCTTTCGCTAACGCACTTGACAGTACGTGTGGGTCGCTTGATGAGGTCCTTCCAGAACAGTCGCTCATCTGACCAGTCATATCCGAAGCCTTGATCGGGGCGAACAACGATAGAATGGAGATACGCTGATCCAACAGGAGCCGGTCGTGCATCGCCAGGCAAAATCTTCTCGATCTTCAACAAGTGGCCGTCTCTAGGGCTGAAGATGCCCAATTCCACAGGGATTTGGGTGTTGTTCTCGATGAGGAGCGGCGAACGGAATGTGATGTACTTGACATTATCGGGTCCCAGTTTGACTTCCACGAGTAGTCGGTGAAGAACATTTTCTTGCTTCGGCTTGAGAGCGTAGATGGTCTCGCCCTCGCGCACAACAGGAATGCGACTGATGCTATCGAAGCCACTGCCTTCCAGTTTGACACCAACCACTCCGCCGTGGCCTTCTGGTGTTAGCGTTTCACGGACAGCGGTGGAATCTTCAAATCGCCATGGAGATTCTTCACCATCAGTTAGCTTCGCCGCTGGGCCTTCCCCTCCTGCGCTGATATCGGCCCAGACTCTGAGGTCAAATCCAGTATAGTTGCGAATTCGGTATGGGGCATCAGCTCCTCGTGGCTTGGAAAGGACATCCTGATCCGTAGAGAGGAACTGGAAGGATTTGGATGCGAGTGCAATCGTAGCGGATGTTACGGTAAGCTCCATTGTCTTGTGTGAATACACATCGAACGAGAAAACATCCGGGTTGATTTCCTTGGCCATGTGGAATCCCAGCTGCCAGGGCTCAATCAACGGCTCCCAGGCTGACTTAGAGAAGTTATACACATTCAAGAACGTCTCAAAATTGGTATCAGCATTAAGTGTTGATGACCAGTCGCGCACATCGACGTTGAATTTCTTGACACTCCAATCGAGCAAAGGCAGATCGTGCAAGTCACCAATAAGGATGACTCTAATTCCGTCGATCTTGGCAGACATCTCTTCGCGCCTAAGGACAATTGTATTCTGTGACGCAGTTGTCTGGTCCAGGCTTCCAACTCCTTGACTCAGGCGACTAGCTCTCTTAGCAATAGTAGAGGGCGTCTTGTTGGCCAAACGACTATTGGTTGATTTCGTGTCCGCGATTTTCTTTGCCTCTCCGCTCTCGATTTGCTGACCATTCTGAGCCCTCATTTCAGA